GTGTGGGTGTGGGTGTGGGTGTGGGTGTGGGTGTGGGTGTGGGTGTTTACTAGAGACAATCATCCATCCACACCCATACCCACCCACACCCACTACACACCCATGCCCACCCACACCCACCCACCCTCACCCACACCCACAACGCCCTTGATCAAAATGATTCCGAACGTGATTTATATGGTATATCACATATTAGTAGAGATATACGATAATAAACAAAAAAAATATCTTATTATATTTTATAATATAATATATTTTAGGCAGATACAACTACAATTCAACAAGCTTATCGTCGATTAACACTTCTTTATCATCCTGATAAACATCAAGATTTACGTACTAAACAATTAGCTATGAATTTATTTATTCAAATTAAAAATGCTTATGATATTTTGAATAATCCAGAAAAACGTGCTATATATGATATTATTGGAATGAAAGGTTTAAAAACTGAAGGATGGGAAGTAAGAAAAAAAAAATAATTATTTTTAATTATAATATTATATTATAGATAATAACTCGAACAAAAACATCTCGTGAAATTCTTGATGAATATGAACGTCTTATAAAAGAACGTGAAGAAAAACGTTTTAATCAAATAACAAATCCAAATGTTTGTTTAAATATTTAAATAGTTTGTTTTTTGTTTTTTTTGTAATATTTATTTCATTTATAGTCATCTGTATATGCAACAATAAATTTAACGGATATATTTATAAATGATGGTTTACCAAAAATTGAAATAACAGATTTTAATGTTGAACAAAATATTGATATTTTATTAACAAATCAAGATACAACAACAATAAATGCTAATGTAACAATACGTAACGGACGTGGTATAGGAACATTAACAACATCATTTCGACGTATTCTTTCAGATTTATCTTGGTTTCGTGTAAGAAATATTTTTGTTTTGTAAAAAAAATAAGTTTTTTCTTTTCTTTAGATTGATTTAATATTTGGTCAACGTCCTTATATTGGACTTTATTATTTTCGTCGTATAACACAAAAACTGTAGGTAAATAAAAATTTATTCTACTAAATTTTTTTATTAAAATTTAATATAATTTTCTCGTTAGTTTAGTCATGCAAATGTTCATACAACATTTAGTTTAATTAAAAATCGTAAAACTATAATTATATCGGGTTTTATTTTTTCATTAAATTATCAATTAGCACATAATTTAACAAGTAGTTTACAATGGAAAACAGGTCGAAATTCATTTATGAAAGGTATATTACAATATGATAAACAAAAATGGATGATTTCAAGTGCAATTCAAGTTTGTTCTTAATATTCTTTTTTTTTTTGTTTAAATTTAGTTCAATAAATTGTTTTTTTCTTTTCAGCTTGGATTTGTTAATACATTTGCAGCAATTGATGGTGTTTATAAATTTCCTGATATATGTAATCTACGATGTAGTCTTAAGTAAGATTTATTTTCTAACAATAAATAAATAAATATAGCAAGATGTAAAAGTTTTTTGAATTCATTATTAATTTTCATTCAAGGTCAAAGTAGGACTTATTTTAATTCGTTTGAGATAAAATTTTCAGAAACAAATGATCGTAGTGAAAAATATTTTTAATTACAAAGGACGGGTCCGTATAAGGGCCTATTTTGGCC